GACTCCCCCGCTTTAAAGATGGTACGTTGTAAGATTACCATTATGCAATTATGTATAATTAATCAAAAAAATATAGCAGTTGTACATTAGCTATCCGCTGGGAAAGGGACGGTGCATTCGGCTCAACAGTAATCATCCAATATGTTATATGCTTCCCAGACTCAGAGGAACTGGACTTTAAAATGGAATTGCTCCCCGACGAACCGCTGCAGCTTTCAAGAAAGCGATATGATTTAACGTTTGAGACTACATGGCGTAAGTATGAAATATATTAAATACACTTACGATCCCCACATAGATGAATTGTTATATGCAATTGGAAAAACCAATACAGTTGTAATTTAAAGACACAATAGTTTCTTAAAATCGTTTATTTACGAGCGTACATACAAATATAGTAAATAAACTATATATATAAACGGAAATATATTCTTATTGAACCTAGCATAGCAAAATATACTCAATGTAAACACAAGCAATAGCCGGAGAAAAAAATCAACTGCTGAAAACCTTTATCGTTCTGACGCTATTTTGATTTGAGAAAATTTGTTTATCTCGTCACCGGGACCATAAAGACGCGATCGCCACTGGATCTAGCGCTATCTGTGTACTGCGCGTGACAACACAGATGACCTCTGACATGGAGTACGATTAGAGGTTTTAATTATTTATGATCAGAATAAAAAATGATCGCTGTTTTTATCGCTGTTCAACGAGAGCGCGGCCATATCCAGTTATCAATACTGGGTATTCAGCAAGTTATTTAAATACTAAAGAAATACGAGTCACGAAATGTGTAAATAAGTTAGAGAAAGATATTGTCTCTTTAACTTGAACAAATTGTTATATATTAAAATGTATGTTGACTTTAAATGATTAATATTTTCATATTATTGTTTATTATAAATAAGATTGCATTCAACAGAACATGATAATATACTCACATGATTCGATTGTGAAATGCTCATGGGGGTTTAATTACTGGCACGTAACATTAATTCAGTGCGCATGTGCGTAGTTCAATTTATCGAACGGATAGCATATTATATGCTGCAAAAACGTTATCAATTAAGCATAATATAATTCATTTTGTGTATTAAAATTCAATATCCGTACACAAGCTGTACATTGCCTCGAAAACACATAATAAATAAAGCTTTTTTTAACAGCACACGACCTTACAAGTGGAGTAATAACAACAATGCTATATCTCGAAGATAGAATGATTTTGGAGTATAGTGCCGATGCCTGTAGAACTTTTGGTTTGAAGCGTTATAAAACAGTGGGTATTGCTTGTCCACTCAAGCAAGATGGTAAGAATATACACACTGCCACGTGCCATAAATATTTGAAATGAACGTGTTGTTTCATCGAGTTGTTAATTACCAGATTTTTTTTACAAGTAAGCTTGCTAATCGTCATATTTGTATTTACAGAAACCTACTATTACAAGGGACCTTTTGTGTTGCACTGGGATAATTTTACTGCAGAACCGGTTAGTTTGTTTTATAGAAAATATTATATATGCTACGTGGTCAGGTCCGGTTAGGCTAACGTAGTTGAAAATCACAGTTCTGAAGTGATCCATGTTTCACCGAGAGTACAATATGTGCAGTGGCACGCTTTCGGTTACTTGCCACCCCTTGTCACAAGTTCATGAAGTCAGCTCAAATATTGATTCAAAACGTCGCGTTCGTGTTCTTAACCACTTTAAAAATGGAATAAATTAGACTGATGGGCAACAATGTAGTTCAATACTGTTATATGCATATGACACAATTTATGCTTGGTATGGTTCTCGTCTCCGGCAGTATCGCACCCCTCCCCCTGCAAAAGATCAGTGCTAGTGGGGAGAAACAACATTAATACTCTTCACACATATATTTGTAAAATACCACATAGATAAACTGGCCTAGAAAATAATCTATTTTTTAAATTAAAAATTAGGCATGGTATATTAACTAAAATCTCAACACTAACCAGTATGATTTTATTAATGTTCGGTACATGAAATCTTGAAGACCAGGGGTGTGCGACTTCTGGGGCACGTGATACGATATTTTGTACGTCGTGCAGTGTTTAATGCGCCTAATTCTGGGCTATAAATCCTTTCTCTGAGTGCGGGCTATAGTCAGTTTAAACCATGATAATAAAAAATACATAATTGTGTAAAATATGTGAATTATTATAATAAATAAATACATTTTTACATCTCTTGTAATGTAATTCGTTTTATAGAATCACGATCCAGACGCCACGTGACATCCTTCAAACCCCGGCCTCAAACATGGTTCTCGTATATTTTAAGTGTTTCTTGAACCTGGTCCATTCCTTGAAAAGACGCGATTCCGTTTCCGTCTTTTATTTTAGAGGTTGCTTTTAGACTTCAATATACTGCCCAGTAGGCTAAGACTATTCTATCATCACCAAAGAACAATTTTGCAATATCTCATATTCAAATTAAAAAGCCTCGCGTAATTTGCCATATTTCGTCTTATCTTCTGGGTTTTTTTTCAACAGGGACACTACCATGGAAACATCACTATTCAAAATGAAAACAATGAACCGATGTTCTGCGCCGATGTCAGTTGGACTATTTTGGGATAATTGAATCGAAGAATATGATCCGAACAAATATTCAACGTTTTTTTTTATTATACATGTTGTCATGCAGTTTATTTGTAAATCTGATTAAAATCTGATATAGGTATTATACGGATCGAGGTATGATACAGAGTAAATATGAAAAACTATATCTTACTATAATGGTAAACTATACGAAATGAACATTTCATTATTAATTTGTCAAACAATAGAATAAGTGTAGAAAATAATAGTAGCCAGAAACATTAAATAAAAGTATAATTAAATATACTTGACTACACATTATTTAATGAGGCATTGTGCTTAACATTTGAATAATTCTGTTTTTGCAGCGAACATAGCAGTTTTCACTCGATAACAAACTATGAATTCAAATGCGTAACCGCTCAACAGTTTTAGAGTTATGTATAAGGTTGCGTACAGGAAATTCGGGAAGAAAAGGAAAGGCATAATGATATAAAACGTGATTGTTTACTCAAGTGAACAGGTGAGAATGTTATGCGACATCATGTTTTACTTTGTCTCAAAAATGTATCACTAGCAACATTTATTTTGCCATGTATCGCAACCATGGTCCACGCCCACCGTGTTTTGGCTGTAATAGCAAAACACAGGTCTTGTGTTAGTTAAATGTTTGAATAATATAATCTCATCTTGGTAAAAGAATCGCCAGAAATGTTCAAATCTGAAGAGGTCAATAGCTACAGCTTTTGCCAGTCTAATCATGATCGTAAGAAGGAATCTTGGGTGTTTGTCGCTTAGATTCGTTCATTTGATGATAACGCCATGTATCATCATTTCCCCGATGATTTTACAGATTCGGAACTTCTTACACTCTGTTTCATTTTAATGATTATATCTCGACTGCTTGAACTTAATTTTACAAAGCATTATGCAAATTATTTCTGGTAATTATTTATTGCATTCTCTTTATTTAATCATCATACACTATATAACATATTTACATAATCAATAACGAGGTAAGGAGTACACTTGAACGAGCCATTATTCGTTTCTATATTAAGAACCCTCAACTATCCTGACACAACTACATCATGAAGATAATGAATTGGAGACACGTGCTGAGAAATTTAAAAAAAAATGTTTCCCAGAAAATTATTCGCAGCAAGGTAATTTATAATATCGTTTACTGTAACCACTGATTTAGTTTACGGTTCAGTTAACACAAGTATCCCATAGTATAACATAACAAAGATTATGCGACCTTGATAACACCTTCTAACGTAACAAATCATATCACTATTTTTTTCTATTAAAAAAGTGTGTTTAGGAAAGAAGAAAACGATTCTTTCTTAAAGGCAATAATATATTGGCCACTATGTCAGTATTTCTGTGTCTCAGTCTTTGAAGTTGGAACAGTAAAACAACATTAGAAAATGTCTTTAACAAAACATAAACAGACAATCATATTTTGTTGATAACAGAGAAATGTCCATTTCGTCCTAAAATTGGTAATACACAGAATTTGTAGAAACAATACAAAAACAAAATTTCATTTTGAGCCAATATATGCGAGAACACTTTCAGTTTGAATAAAATAATACGTTGTGCGACAATCTTGCGTTATAGCAACTTTTGCTAGTTACCCTCTCTCATACATCTAACTAACTCTTTTGTGAGATCATTCCACAGTAAAAACAACTCAACCAATCTGAACATTTTACTTTCACACTGTACCGGCACTATATATGACACTATTGAATTGGGAGATTTGAACGATATTGTCCATTGGAGTCGGTCAGATCTATGTGCAGCTTTTACAATAAAAAAAATACAAAAACTTTGAATAAGTAAAGAATGTGGAAAATGATGCATAAAAGCCAAAGCTATCTTATTTTATTCATATAAAAAGCTAAAGGCAAATTAGAAAGTGTTTATTAATATTGTAAACTTTTGTCATTTGTCCTGCTACAATTCCCCCACTATCTCAAATCTGTACACGCCACGCCTATCATGTTAACACTGTGGTAAATATTTTGTTAAAATCCTGATTATATACATATTTTGAAAATAAAAAACATATCCTTATACCTCACTGAAGCATCAATACACTACAAATACAACTGATAAATTAGGAATTATTGCCAAACCAATACAATTTGTAAATGTTAATGTTCAACTCGAATAACTAAAATTCAAAAGTATTTATATTCAACGCTTGCCCACATCCATCGTTCCAATCTATTACTTGGGTATATTGCCAAGAGATTTTACACATTTTTGAAAAAATTGTGAGATAATAATATAAAATTCAATAAATCACACTTCAATTTTCACTAAACTATTAATCTATTAGATTATATGATTACGTTAATACCCCAGCTTTAAACTCATGCTTTTCTACCATGCACAAGCCATTCTTTATTTAAACCAAGTCGAGTAAACACTTCAAGGGTCAACATTTTTTGATCCATTTTACCAGTTAACATTTCTGGAAAATCGTCAAAAACCATCACATACTTGGGAATATAAGCTGGTATACCTATGTTAGCTTTGTAGAAATCTTTCAGGTCATCACTGGATATTGAAGTATCACCAATCAATGAAACACACGCACAGAAGTCTTCTTGTAATTCTTCATCTGGTACTGGGACTATGTAAGCCGCTTTAACATTGGGATGGCTTAACAGAGATTCCACCAGGCTGGCATAGTACATTGTTTTTCCTCCCTTCATGATAACGTCTTGACTTCTTCCAGCTATCTTTATATAACCATTTCTATCTATCTTAGCTAAGTCACCTGAAGTATACCACCCATCTACACTCATCACTTGCTTAGTTTTGTCTTCATCGTGAATATAATAACGGAATAGGAAATTGCTGCGGATAAGTAACTCCCCCTGTGTGTTGATTGGCACTATTTTACCATATTCATTCACTATCTTAACTTCAGTATGACCAAACGGGCGCCCAACTTTATCAATGATTTCTTTTTCATCTGCCGTGATATCTCTTCCGCTGACAAATAAGGCTTCAGACGAGCCATACGTATGTAGTACTTTGGCTTGAAATATAGAGCTCACTTTCTGAATGACGTCTGTTGGGATTGTGCTGGCACTTGTCATGACATATCGAAGAGATGAGCAATCATACTCATTTATCTTGCCATGATGTAGAAGGTTATAAAGACCAGGATATGTAGAAAATAGTACAGTGCAATGTTCATTCTGTATAACAGACACGTTATCGTGTATTTTTGCACCAGGGGAGAGGATGACTGATGTCATTCCCAATATCAATGGGGCAATGTGAGACATTTCAGAAGTAGCATGAGATAGTGATGAGCAAGCAGATAACAGTATGTCATCATTAGTCCATTCATATCTATCTGCACACATCATGTAAATGTTTTGAATTGCCATGTGAGAATGAAGCGTGCCTTTCAGAGGACCAGTACTGCCAGAGGTGTAGAAAATTGTGTACGGGTCACCAAATTCAACCATTTTGCTGGTTTCTTCTAATCGTTGTTTACCATTTTCGGAATCCTTTTTACATAAATTCATTATATCATAAATGGACTTCCATCTGCCTTGAGATGCTTCTACATTAGTGATTATTCGTTGAAGTTTGGACTTTTCATCCGTTTGTAGTGTTTCAGCATGTGACGTTTTCAAATCTGGTAGGATGAGTTCTAACTGATTGTAAACATCGTCATTATTGGCACCGACTACCAAAGCAACACATTCACTTTTCAATAAAGCGCTTTTCAGCAAACTATTAGGCAACCCAACATGAAATCTGGCTAAAACCACTCCAATATATGCAGCAGCCAACTGAACCATTATGTATTCTGGTGCACATGACGATATAATGCCCAGAGTGTCCCCTCGTTTCAACCCAATGCTGAGAAGTCCAGTTCCTAAGGTGCACACTTGCCTTTGTAGTTCCTCAAATGTTAGACGTACCTTTTCTACTGGAAAGATATATGCTTCTTTTTCTGGTGTCTTCTTTGCAACAGAATCTAGCAAGTCTCTTGTAGTAACAGCTGATAAGGAAACACTAGATGTTGCGTGATAGTAACTCTTGCTTAATGTTGTACTCATTTTGAGAACTGCTGCTTTAACACTAAACAAAAAGTAAAATCATAGAGCCTATTAATTGACCAGTATAGTAGTATGTTTCCTCATTTTTGTGAGAAGTTTTAGATATATTATTTAGATTAGATTTAAAAATGCTCAAAATATGTGGACTTGAATCATTATAATCACATCCAACAATATTGGATTTGTGATAGTCAACACAATATAATACAATATTATACATCTGACGACGAATAGAAAGTGTTTCGCGTTCAAATGCATTCTTTATTTGGAAATTGTGCGTCACGTCCACGTCACGTTCAACACTTCTCTTTGTTTACTTGGAATGCAGAAGACTGTCAACGCGCAATGGAAATAGAATTCCGTCACTTGAACGCAAATGTTTGCACAGCATTACCAGATGGTATCTGTTACAAAATTATTACTACAAGCTTGGAAAAGATAATCGTCAGTCGATACTATCACCGTACTGCCCTTGAAAAGACATTGCGGTATTCTCGTAATAACCGCACAGTATAATGGAGTATAATAAATATGATAACAGAGATATGATAATGTAGTTTCACGGTATTATGCTATCCTGATATTGTGAGATCATCAAAAACGCGCGTTTTACTCACCTGTACTCGAATTGGATTCAATATGACTTTACTTGCGTGTGTGAAATATCGATAAGACCAGGTCAATACAAAATGATGTTAAAATGTTAAAGACTTGTATATATTGTTTTATTTATGTTATGTGGATTGATATCTTCTATTTATAAAGAAATAAATTGAGACATATGAATAATGACATGTTACAAACACATAAATTAAAGTTCGTATTAATACACATCAATGGATGAATGTGAAAATAGTCTAAGACAGGTTTGAGCATGGAATAATATTGTTTGGTGGAAGAGATTGTCACGCCTATACTAAACTTCCGTTTTACCAGTATTCAAATTATTGGGCTTCTAAGATTTGTTTTTGTTATTAACCTATATATAATAAATGTATGTATTAATGAGTGAAGTATTATAAATTTAAATCAAAAATACTTCTTTGCAAATTTATTTTTTGTATTAGTTGTATTATATAAATTAATTGCTATAATATTACAAATACCACGATTTACATACTTTTTTGCAAATTTACACGGATTCAACATGTTTTACTATTTTATTATAATAATAAATTATTGAGGTTTATCATGAAAACTTATTATTTCTGAGATGATCCACGATCCTCAGCGAGACTCTTCACCACATATAATAATCGTCTTGGTTTTATCTTAAGCTTTGGGTATGTGTTATTCTGGTCTTCCACTTATGTATAGTTTGGGCCCCGTTATCTGGTGACCTCTGGTGTCCGCGATGTGATAAGAGAAAACTGAGATCGACACTACAAGGCAATGAAAATAACTATTGTAGCTCCGACGCCGGGTATATCGGCATTTTTATTAACGAACTACTATGCTATCTGTGTTATCAACTCGATGTCGTCGCCAGCACTATGCCCATTAAGCTATGCACACAAACTTCCAACGACGCCCAGGGGCACACGAATTGAT